AATTTTTTTGAGAAAACTTTTGAAAATCCTTTGCTCTGTTGAAAAAATGCAGTTGGAAAGATTTAGACAAAAACTTTAAATTTGGTAAATGAGGCTAATAATTTTGTCCTCATCTATATTTGCCACGGCCTGCACGATGGTTATTGTTAGTTGCTGTAATTCTTAGGTGGAGTTGTTTGTATTGTCCTGAAGTTTGAGTGTCTGTTTCACTGGTTACTCTCTCTGCTTTGTCCCTGTTACAGGTTTATATTAAAACCGTCTGGCACTGGCAGTGCTGTCAAACAAAGCTTTTGGGAAATACTTTCAAAAATTGAAGTTTTCATTAGGGGACTAATAATTCTGTCCCCGTTGCACATATCCAGTCCATCATCACATGTTTGAACATGTCATTTCTTCTTCTTGTTGGTTTTGCTGGTTATCCTGTTCCATTTCTCCCTTGCTTGTTTTCCTTACGTCCTTTGTGAATTTATTTGTTTGTGTGGACTCTTTGCCACTACTTTTGCTTTACTTTGCGTCCCTGCCAGCAAACAACATTTCTTATCTTTACACAGTTTTCCTGCTTTTGCTTCCCTATTGATCCCAACACAGTTCAAACTATTAGCGAATGCTGAGAACGTGTAGGCGGTCCTCTGCATCGATCCGTATTGATTTGACTAATGTGGCTTCTGTTGTATTTGTCGTTATAGAGCCAGCTATAGTAAATAACAACCTCAAAGGCAGAAAGCTGAGCAAAGATCTGGGGAAGGTTGTTGTTTCCTTCTAATTAGACTTGAAACCACCTCAAGAAAACAGCTGATCCCTTTGGACTGAGCAGCGTATCAACAGTGCTGTAACAGAGTTAACAAATGCTTAATTGGACAGAGTAGCTGTAGTCAGATATTAACCTCTTTCCACACAGATACTGAAATGCAAATTAATTTTGTTTAAAGGGTAACATTTTCTATTTTCTGAAATGTTTTGTGGGAGTTTGCATGTTCTCCCCGTGTTTGTGTGGGTTCCCTCCGGGTACTCCGGCTTCCTCCCACC